GGGGGGGGGGGGGGGGGGGGGCAAGAATAACAAACGGAAAGGGAGGATACGTCCCTGTGCTACGTCTTGCCACGTCGGATCATATACAAAGTTGCACGTTACATGTTTGTCTGTGTGTCATCCCGAAGTAATCACATGCTTCCTCTTCACCATCAACGCCAACTAAACAACAACAACAATATGCAGAAGCAGAAACAGCAGCAAACGTCTCACCTGTCCCGTCCGCTACCGGTTGCCAAATCTTCGCCCCCCCGGGGCGAGGAAACCGCCGACTGACGCGCGGCTGTTGCCGACCCTCCGCCGCTCCCTTCCACGGACAGAAAAATGGCCCTGAACTGTGTAGCCACCTCGAACCACTGCGATCGACAGCTCTCGATCAGATCCATGAGAGTCTGTCAAGTCAATGACGCACAACCGAAGGTAATACTATTATAGTTACATAGTAGAGAGGCGAAAGCGTTGTACGCCATCCCCACTCCAATAAGATTGTCGAAGGCACGCCTGGAGTGACACACACCTTCCATGGCGGCACTACTGCTGCTGCTACTGCTTCGTCGGAAGGCCTATCCACCACGAGTTCGCTTCGTGCCGCAAATATGCAATGCATTCTGGTGTACACCCGCCTTTGGAACAGCGTAACACCAAGCAAAACCACTCGAGCCACTTGCACGATATCCAGCTCGGTGGCCAAATACACTACATAGACCGTTGTGCCTCGCCCCCATGCGAACCTGGTAAGGACCCGAGGAAGCCGTGTTCGCTGCCGCGCCGAGCGCCTGCTGCTGCTGCTGCTGCTGCAAGTCGACCCCGCCCCCGTGGCCGCCTGCCCGGCTAGCAGCGTCGGCTAACCAAGCATCTCTAGCCTCCAAGAAATCCACCTAATACATGAACACCATCGGAAGATCGAGTTTCCATACAGCGCCGGGAAGTTGGAGCGGGATTTTTCGCAAGAGATCTAACAACAAGATCGAAGAGACCATCAGCAGTCGTGACGACTAACACGACTCAAGCTTCGGTCAGGGGTCATATCACGCCAGGATACACGCCGCACGTGCGTTTTCACAATATCTTCCCTTCGTTTCGGGTCGCGAAATTGTTTGTTTCTTGCAACCATTTTTGTCGCACACACACACATTTTCTGTGTTCAGCCAAACGGAGACCGGCGTCTTTTCATTGGTCAGTCGGTTAGCGCGGTCGATGGCACAAAAAAACATCACACCCAGCCACACGCGTGCGCTCGCGACGCTCCATCACGAGGCCCCGGCTCACGGCCTTAAGAAGCGTTTTCCCGTATTTAGCCGCACTGACACTGCCCTCTTAGCATTGGTCAGCCGGAAACAGCAGCGCGATTGGTGCTGACAACAAAGTCAAACACACACTCTCTAACGTCCGATCTCCTCCGCGGAACCCCGTGTCGGGGGGGAGCCCGCAGACAAGAAATCGGTGTACGCAGCGGTCATGGTCCCGCCTCACAGACGGAATGCGCGCACTCTTGGTCCCGCTTCAAAGACGGAACGGATGCCTACTTCGCTTCCATCAGTCGGAGAGCGCGGTCGATCAAAACTCCAAGACGCGCGCACCACACGCACACACATAACGAACACACCTGAAGCTTCATCTCCACGAGCGCGAGCTGCCGCTGGCTGACCCCACCTCCTCTGATCTTGGCGGCTTCCATCGCCGTCACCTCTCGCTTGCTGCCGCTGCCGCCGTCGCCGCCGCCGCTGCTGTTCTTCAGCGGCGAGCCCTTGACGTCCACGTCTTCCTGACGCGCTAGTGCCCGCTGCCGCTGCTTCTTTTTCTCGGTCTTCTCCTCGAGGGCAAGGATCTCCAGGCGCCGCAGGCAGGACACGACCTTTTTGGTTTGATAAATTATTTCGTTTTTTTTTGCCGCAGGGTCGTGGCTCGGACATGAGAGGGTGGTGTGACGAAGGCCCTTGACCCTCTCATACCGGAATGATAGGGTACCCAACTACTTCGAAGTACATACTTAGCGGGTCGAGTCCGTGACAACCGATTTTGACCCCCGTATGTTGGAGGCCCTCTCTTATAAGGTACCCTCCTGTGTCGGAGCCAAGACTGAACCAAAACGTCTCGAGATCATTCGTGAGCATGCGCGCAAGGTCCTGCCAGCTTGCTCCGCCGGAACGATGCTGTCTTTCGCCAATGCAGCGCGACGTGGTGTGGCAAGCTCGCTAAGAGGGCAACCACCCCAGTTTCGGAGCCTGGGATAGAGATACACGTGCGGGCCCTGAAGCGGCTCCGACGGCACACACAGGACGCAGTCTTGTGGTCTCCATACCGTAGGTGACATGATGTAGGATACCACACCCCCCCGGGCGGGTTTTCAAAGCTCTATTACTTCACGACAAACGCAATGCCAAAACAGCAGGAATGAAGCATGTTTTGAAACCTCTCGACGAGATGGATCCAATGCCGCAATTCTCGGCACCGCCGCGCTTTCAGCTGCAGAGTATTCGAGCATCTGAGAAACGTTTCAGGGGGTGTTGCATCTTACATCATGTCACCTACGGTACAGCGATGATGGTTTTCGGGCTCTGAAACCCGAATGGTAGATCCCACGCCGCCGTACGCCAGAGAAATTTTTTCAGTTGCAGGCGCTGCAGCAACAACTAACGTACTACCACCGTGCGCCAACACACGGGCACAGACTTACCTGCAGACAGCTGGTGAGCTGGATGGGGCCCCGGAGCTTGGCGACCAGCCTCTCTTGCAAACCCCTCGCGCTCTCTCGCACCTCCTCCACGATCATCTTGATCACGCCTTTTATTGAGTTGATGCACACGGCGCGAGAGCGGTAGAGGGGACGGCGGCAGGATGGACGAGATCGTCATTCACGCGACGTGGCCGCAAACACTAGCGTTTCCACCCAAAATATCCATGCTTGCAGCAGCCGTCGCTGTACATCAGGTCGTGCCCAACTCTTGCCGCCGCAAGATTCAGCGCGCCATCAGATGGACCAGTGCCCTCAGTGACAGCCGTCGCTGTACACCGTAGGTTGCGCAAAACTCTTCCCATTAATCCGCCTGAGCTCATGACCTTAATTCACATGTTATGTTTCACGTACCTGGGAGGTGCCCCTCGATGGGCTCGTCTTTCGCTGCGGTATCCCCTCCGACGCTAACACAGAAAGAGGAGGGGAGGGGGCAGGAAAAGAGAGAACGGAAGAGAGAAGAGAGAGAGGGGGGGCAAACATAGTGAGGCAAACAAGACGCGCTCAGCAAACAATGCTTCGTGGTATTGGAACAACCCCCCCAATGGAGCCACCACCTTGAACAGGTCTAACCGATATTTTGATACGGTGGCGTGTTCCTCGCGCCACTCTAATATGTTCCGGTGTGGCTCTCTTTCTTGAGACCGCTGACGCCAAAATGAATAACAGCACGCTTATACAATCCCCCCCGTGCCCATTCCCCACTGATTGGATTACTTCTTCCAATAAACTCGATGTCGCTGCTTCTTCAAACTTCAAAAGGAAAGTCGTGCATGTCTACACCAAACGGCCGGGAATATCGTGCAACTCCGGCGTAGTCTCTGCCTCACCTGCCGACAGGTGCGGATGGCACCACTCGGCGACTCCGGTGCCGCCTCTCCAGGGTTGAAGCGAAGGTGGCGATGGAGAGAGCTTCCTCCATCAGGTCGCTGCGCACGCACGCGTCCATCAGCTGCGGCACCTCCAGCAGCTCGACCAGCTGCCGTGCGAAGCGTCAAAACGCGTTTTCAAACAATTCCTTGTGCATGCACAAAATCATGCGAGCGGCGACACGAAAGAGCGCCACTTGCAGCTGACCTTTCGTCTCATGATCGTTCTTGCACCAGTGCGCACCGCAAACCATGGGTACGGTCGCCGTCTGCCACGGGAGAGAACAGCAGCAGCTACGTCGCACACTCCCTCTTGTGTCTCTTCGCGGGTGTGGTGTGGTGCGTCCTCTTCATGGTACTCGCGAGTTGGTGTGTTATGGATTCGGAACATGAGAGGAGTGAGGAGTGAGACATCCGAACCGTATGTACAGCAGCGAAGTCGCACGTCCGATTTCAAGGCCGGCCGGAACGAATTGCGCAGAGAACGCCGTGCTGACGACGTTGCCACCGCTGGCAGTATCTCCCTATTCCGTGCGAATTCGCCTTCTCCACTGAGGGTCCCGCAGAACAAGTAATGTGCGCCAAAGACCACATGCACGCAACTCTTGTGGCCAGAAGGGTTCAGAAAAGTTCAAGTGTCTTCTCGCTCCGTCCGAGCAGACTCAACACGCTCATGCTAAAGGAGAAAGTGTAAACAGTGCCCTTGCCGCTTCGGAACATTCGCTGATATGTACCACACTTTCTAGGGACAAGGGGGTGCTTGTAGCACACGGCATTGCGCGAGCCTCCTGCAACGAAAAGGCGCACCGGCAATTTGGTAAAGCTGACGTAGCAAAGACAGACGACAAAACACAGAGGTCAGATTTGCCAGGTTGAACATCTCCGGTAGCGACGAGATAAGAGATACCTCCCACGCAGGTACATCACGTCAACTCCAGCTCTACCACAATGCAGAGACACCCGTTGCAAACGAAACAAATCGACAAACTTAAATGTTCACAAAGAGCCGCATTTTGTTGATAGCAAAACCGCCCAGGGCTGCTGATCCATCTACTCAGCCCAAAAACGTGCCTGCATGTGGTGCTTGAGGGTCTGCCTGTTCCTCTTGTGCCCTCCCACAAGTTCCGCTGCTTCCCTCTGAAAAACGGAAAACTCCGCGCCAAGCCCGTGGACCTCCGTTAGCAGCGACGCCAGGTGCCCCTCCATCTCCTTCCCCTGCGCCCGCACGTGCCGAACGCACTCCTGGTTCTGTATGAAAACTCGGTAATGGTCGAGGCTGAGCGTGTGCAGAGCCTGCCGCACAAGGGGTGCGCCGCGGGAATGGGACGGGGTGTGTGTGTTGGGGGTACTGATGTGTTGCACGCCGTTCTAAATAGTTGTTAGACCATTGGCCACGCGTCCTCGAGAGGACGGAGCATTGTTCCCACAGGACCGATCATTATATATCTGTCTGTACAACAACAACAACCAGGCAGTGCCCTGGGCGCTTCCTCCTGCTAAAAATGCAGTATTAATAGCTGCAGAGCATGTGTGTGGCTGGGTTTCTCCGCATTTGCCGGCGTGACTACAATACATGCACATGCCCACGAGCTAAGAATCCAACCGGGGGGAGGGGACCTTTTGGCCTCCATGGCCTTGTTGGTTGCCCGCGTGCTGTTGCTACATACTGCTGCTGCTTTGCGTGACATCCTGACGAAAACACGTGCCCACGGCACGACCCGTACGGACAGGCGGGGCGTCTTAACCACAAACATAGCAGCAGCACCAGTGGCAATATCTGCACGAAGTACGGAAGGACGGGAGGGGAGAGCGTTCTTTCGGTCTCATACAGGGGCTTTTTCAGAAGCGCTACACGCCGTAGTGTACGAGCACATACAGGCGTCCGCTTGTAGGAGGCAGACATCGAAGTCGCAGTGAATATCTGCCGATTTTTTGACTGCACACACCACGCACGGGAACGAGAGCGCGTCGGCGGAAACACGGGAAGCTCCGGCTTCTGCGGCAGCGGCGGGGTTAAGTAGCAGTCAAGTGATTGAAATGGAACATCTCCTATCCTTCAGGAGGACTAACCTCGTCGACAGCTATCGCCTCGGCGTGCAAGCGTCCGGGCTCGTTTTGCAGACGCTCCAAGCCAAGGGAAGCCAGCGAGTGGACGTACGCCTCGGAGAGCTCCACCGGTTCCTGCTCCACATCCTGTTCCGCATGGTCGCCCTCGCTTGCTGCTGCAGTAGAAGTGGCGCAAGCACTCATTCTGGAGAGAGGTATTCAAATGATACAGGCCCAGTCTATTGAAGTAACCTTTAGTCCATTTCCGCAGCAGCGGCAGGAGAGAGGCGTTCAGCAGCCTGCCACACAAGATAAGCCCTCCAAAATCGGATCGGAACGGTGGCAGCAGGGTCGCTTTGCACGCTGCGCTACGCAGCCTGGTGTGTCTGGTGCACACCGGAGGAGTGCACACGCATACCCCGCCATTCCTAGCTGCGGGCCCGCGGTTCTTGACCCCCCTGCGTGCCCACGTGTCTCCCTTGCTGCCGTGCCACCATCAAGGACGTTGACGGCTCTCACCTTGGGACGGGACAGTCCCGTGGCGGAGACGGAACAACTGCTGAATTTAAAATCTAGATCAACGAAGGTGTGTGTGCGTTTGCTGCCTTGTGTTAGGGGGTGCGGTGAAGCTATTGCTCCTTTTTGGTCTCTGTTTTGCGGCACGGGCTGCTCAAGAGATGATGTGGTGTGATGTGGTGTGACATCACACGCGTACACCGTAACTTGCTCTGTTTGAGAAGAGAGACAAAGCAGTGCAGCAGTCGTCGAAGTTGCAAGGCCTGCTGGACGCCAGTCACACAGCCGAGCTCTTATATCTATGGTAGCGGATGGATCATCATCAGCGCACACTTTGCTGTTCCTGGCACGCCTCTCACACACGGCCTTACTTATCACCACGCCTACTACGCTTCGATTCGTAGTACACGTGTCATGCACGCCTTCTTTGTTGTCTTGCGATGATTTTTCGCTCGCGCTGAGGAGGCTTTGATCCTGGTATGTACATGCACGCTGCTGTAGTCTAGATGCTTTTATAGTTGCCTCGTGTTGACTGTCGATGGCTTGCTTTCGTAAACTGCTGTATCGTATGCATATTGCTTGGGTGATGGAGCGGCCACAGACATTCTCAGTTCGAACTTCGTCAACCGGCCTGTATGCAACCCCGTCCCACGTTCGCCAGACCCTGTGCTCTGCTGCTGCTGGGGGGACATCCGATGTCGTTCCAAGTTGGCGATGAGCCGGGAATTTCTAGTCCTCCCGCAGCTTCCACCCATGAGGTAAATGTCAATTCTCCTGCTTCAAAGAGATCGGTAAAATCAACTAACCGATACGCTGCTTGCTCCTGGTATTATAGCCATTGCTATGCTGGCCGTAAGCGACGCCCGTACATGCACCGTATGTGACGCATACCATATGACGGCGCTGCTTCCTAGTGACCGCGTAGACTTCCCTTACGTCTTGCGTGCGTGGTCGCTTCTTCGCTCGCCGCCCTATTTCCTATTCGGCAGCAGGGTCTCCACCTCCATGACCCAGCCTCGCCGGCATCTTCAGCGGCATCAGCAACGGTAGTAGCAGCAGCAGCAGCAGCAGAGAAGGTGCACAACTATCCTACGTCCGCTGCACTCCTGCCGCCGGTGCTACCGACGCTATCGACAGACAATTCATCCGTGGAAGAAGTGGAGGTGGGACGTTCCCCCCCGGCGTCTTCCGCCGCCGCCGCCACCGCCGCCGCCCACGCCTCGGCCGCACTATTTTTGGGCCCCTTGGCTGCGGAAGAGGATGGGACCGCTGTGCATGCTTCTGGCTTTTCCGCTGCTGTCCATTCCTCAGCGTCATCCACGATGCCTGAAGTTGGTGACACCGAAGTCGTTGCCGCTACCACCGCCCCGGCTGCCACGGCAGGCCTAACCTCCTCCACGGCCCTAAGGCTGGCGGCGGGCCTGCCTGCGGATGGTGCGGGAGAGGCGGTAACGCCTTTCGCGGAGGTTTACGGGCAGCCTGGGCTTCCGCCGCAGGGGGTGCTGGACACCATGCCACCAGCACCTCCGCAGCCGCCGCCACCACCACAGGAGCTGTTCTTCCGGGAATTGGAGGCACCGCAGCAATTGGGGCAGCAGCAACAGCAACAGCAGGAGGAGCAGCAGCAGCAGCAGCAAGAGGAGCAGCAGGAGCAACAGCAGGAGCAGCGGGAGCAGCAGCAGGAGCAGCAGGAGCAGCAGGAGCAGCAGCAGCAGGAGCAGCAGCAGCAGCAGCAACAGCGGGAGCAGCAGCACGAGCAGCAGCACGAGCAGCAGCAGCAGGAGCAGCAGCCGGAAAGACGTCGCGGAAGAATACGACAGAGGCAGGCGAAGCCGACGTCGAAGCCGGAGCCGCACCCGAGGCTCCAGCGCAGACACCCCAAACCAGAGCCGCGGCAGATAGCCCCGATGCCGGAGCCCCCGCCGATGTTCCCGCTGCAGCTGCAGTTTCCTCTGCCCGGCTCGTCCGCCGCAGGCGCCGCCGCCGCGGCGCTGCCGCTCACCTCTCCGCTGTTGACACAGGCCCTCGTGAGCAACTTGAGTCGGTTTCCGGCGGTGGCAGGGATGGCGACACCGACAAGCTCTGGTCTGCTCTCGTTCGGTGCCGCAGCGCAGAGCGCAGCCTCTGTTCCCCGCGCTGCTCCTCCGGCGGCGGTTCGACGTAGTTCATCCGCTCCGGGAACTGCGGCCGGTTCCGGTGACCCTTCTCCCGTCGTGCCGGCACACTCCCTGTACAACTACGGGGGTATCTTCGCGCCCCCCGCCACGGCCTCTGCTCCCGCTTCTCCCACGTTGGCGATACCGTCCGCTGCTGCTGCTGCTGCTGCTGCTGCTGCTGCTGCGGAAATCTCTACGCTACCGCTCTCCGCCCTATCAGCCGCTGTTACTCCTTTTTCTACAGCAGCTGCTGGTGCTTCTATCCTTGCTCCTGCTCCTGCCTCTACTGCGCCTAATGCTGTGCCTGCGGAGCAGCCGACGGCGAGTGCGGCGGCACCGGTGGCGGCGGCACCGGGCGCACACATCCTCCTGGCACCCACTCCCCCGCACAACAGCCTTTGGCCGATTGCACTAGCAACGCCGGACCAGATTCGACTTCCGTTGCCGAGCTCTGTAGGTTTGCACGGGGACGCGCCAGATGCTACAGCGACCGAGATGACGGCTGCGGCAGCCGCGGCGGTGGCGGATGTGCCTGCGATGGACCTCTTGAGCCCCTTGCAGCCTTTCAACCAGAGTGACAACCATGGTCAGCAGCAGCAGCAGCGGGGGCAGACTATGCAGCAGGAGCTCGAGCTGCTGACGCAAGAGCAGATACGGCAGCAGCAGCAGCAGCAGCAGGAGGAAGAGAGGCAGCATCAGCAGCAGCAGCAGCAGCAGCAGCAGCTACAGCAGCGACGGCGCCAGCGCGGAATCAACCGGAAGAGCAAGGCCCGAACTCCGCCGCCGCCGCCGTTGCCGCCGCCGCCGCCATTGGCGGAGGTGACGATGAAAGGGAACGCCCCCTGGACAGCCGAGGAGAACGACCGGCTAAGGGAGGCCGCCAGGAGGCACTCCCTCAAGCACTGGAAGCAGATCGCGAGGAGCGTGCCCGGCCGCACTGCCGTGCAGTGCCTCCAACACTACAAGCATGTCCTCCACCCCGGCATTGAACGGGGCTCTTGGACCCCCGCGGAGGTAAAGGCATCGCAGAATTCTTCGGGTTCAAGTTGAGGAGGGGGGGGGGATTCACCGCCGGCTGTTCTGGCTCGTAGTTCGGGGGCAGTCGTCGTTCCTTGCGGCATATGTCGTAGCGCAGAAATATTCCTCTGTTTTGTGTTTTTCCGTTCCCTGTCAGGTATATTCCTCGAACCGCCTTGTGTGTCAATATGCCCTTCGTTTCCGTTTGGACCTATCCATTCTAAGATCCAAAACGTACATGTGTGTGTGTGTGTTTTTTTTTTTCCAGGACAAGCAGGTAATGAACCTGGTGGCAATCCACGGGACAAAGTGGTCCAAGATCGAGGCCGAGATGCCGCGGCGTCTCGGGAAGCGAATACGCGAAAGATACGTGAATCACCTGGACCCAAGGTGTGTGTGAACGAAGACCTCGAAGAGCAACGCGACGGTCTGCTATGCCCCCCCCCTCGGTCGAACTGCGTCTCCCGCTATCCTGATACATACCCCCCCCCCTCGTGTTGCCATCGGGGTTGGGTTTTCGTCGCTTGGCAACGACGTTGTAAAACAAGCCGCCCCCCCCGCCTCCCCGGTGTTTGCCATCGGGATTGGGTTTTCGTCGCTTGGCAACGACGTTGTAAAAC